TACTGGACAACTCGAACATAAGCCAGGACCACAAACTGTTGGTACGTACAGCGCTCCAGCAGAACCTGACGTTTGACAGAGTAGCGGACGAGTTGATCAACCAGCACAGCCATGTGCATGAGCGTTTCCAAGGACAAGGTGCCCCTCGGAGAAGCTTCGGCGGCGACGGGCGCGGACCTTGGAGATCGGCTTGGGCGCCGCAACATCCCAAGGGCAGCCATGGCAAGGGCAAGGGCAAGAGCCAATACGCTTTCCATATTGACCAGGATTTCGGCGACTATGGTGACGACGACCCCGAGGACCAGTACGACCCCGCCGGCTACATGACCCAGAACTATGAGTACGGCTACGACGAGCACATGGACTTCGAGGTCACTGAGTTCGCTGAGGAGCACCTGGCCTACTTGATGGACCAAGGCCTAGACCCAGACGACCGTGAGGCAGGCGACTTTGCGGCGGACGTCATCCAGGCCGAGGAGGAAGCATATTGGAGCCGAAAGGGGGCGCACTCCAAAGGACATGCCCCCATGAAGCCACCGCCTTTTGAGGTCAGCGGCTCTTTCACCATGGACGAGAAGAAGGCGCGGCTGCTTTCCTTGAAGGCGAGGACTTCGTGCAAGAAGTGCGGAGCAGTGGGCCATTGCGGCGACGCTCAATGTTGCCTGAACAGAGGCAAGGGCAAGTTCGGGAAGTCTGGCGGCGGTGCACCATCATCCTCTTCTTCGGGCTTTGGACGAGGCCGCGCCCCTGGACGTGGAACCCAACACTCTGGGCGAAGCGGCGGCAAGGACAAGCCCAGAACCGTCTACTTTTCCATAAGGGAGCCCGACGCTGGCGACCCGAAGGGCTTCTTGGCTCTCCGCTCTCCTGACCCGACCGGCGGCTACCACCAAGTTCCGCCACCAAGCTCTTTGACATCGGCTCCGCCGACGACTTCTGCGGCAGCGACCTCCTCATCGACGACGCCTGCGACAGCGACCTCAGCAGCACCGACGCAGAATGTGGCGGCGGCGCGGACCATCGTCGACCTGACGGACAAGGATGGACCTTGGCAGGTGATACCGCGCATGGACCAGGTGGACTATGTCAACGCGGAGCAGCCCGACGTCGACATGGAGATGCTTCTGGAGGCGCTTGGCGGCGTGCCGCTGGAACCTCTGCCACTAACATCGCCGGCTTCTTCACCATCTCCTGGCGCCGAACCTTTGGACGACGCAGCAGCACGTGTGGCACAACCGGCACAAGGCATGAGGCGAGTGGCCCCACATAGCAGGTCCTGCCCGCATACGAGGACGACCGCCAGTGGCAGCAACCAGTACTACCACATCCGCAAGTGCACTGCGTGCGGCGAAGTGCTCGAACGCACCCGCAAGCAGCCACAGGATCCGGCGCCTCAGCCAAAGGCGGCAGCAGCCCCAGCTTGCCTACACCACAGAGTACACTGGAAGGGCTCAAATGCCTTTCTGAGAATGCGGACCTGTCTCGACTGCGGCTTCAGAGAGAGCATTCCCCGAGCGGATGGTGACGGCAATGTTCCTGGAGCTTCCTCGTCAACTACCGGAACGAGCTCTACGGCGACTTCGGCACGACCCTCGAACGCGGCTACGTCCGCGACACGTCACGACCTCGACGGCTACGTGCTCAGCCCGCCGGAGATACAGCAAATCGTCGGCGCGTTCAACGAGGCAGTGGGCAGGCGTCTTGAAGCAACCGGCGATGCCCCGATTCCGGCGGACCGGCTGTTGGAGACGCTTCGGCTGACGATCGAGCAGGTTACGATTTGGCACCAACGACAGGCCGCCCCGGCATCGACTACACCTTCGACCCGGACCTCAGATACTGCAAGCTTGGCAGAGCGTGTGCGGATGCGAGGGGAGACGCGTGTCGAGTCCGGGAAGTACAAGAACCAGGCCTACATCGCTGCGTACGAGGACCGCGACTACAAGCACTGGTGCTATGCCAACGTCACCGACCAGAGCCACCCAACTATGAAGCGATTGGTTCAATACTTCCGCGAACATGACGCCTCCCTTGACTCCGATGCTCAGAACCGTCACGCCTACATGGCCTACCTCGACCACGATGACGAGGACGACACGATCTTCGCGGAAGGCGACCTCGTGGCGATTCTGGACACCGGCTGCAGCCAAACATGTCACGGCGACGCCTGGCTTCAAAGGTACGTGGACGCGACCCGACAGGAAATGCCGAAACTTTGCACCGAGGACAGGCCCAACTTCAGGGGGATCGGCGGGGCCATCCAAACCGCTGGTACCCGACAGCTAGAGCTTTGCCTTGAACTCCTCGATGGTGGAGTTGCCCGAGGCGACCTTTATTCCACCGAGCTCATCGGCTCCGAGGCTCCTTTGTTGCTTTCCCTGCAGGCTCAGAAGGCGCTTGGGTTGGTGATCGACTTGTCTGCCGAAGTGGCCCACTCTCAGGTTCTCGGCAAGGACCTCAAGCTGGTCATCAAGGACGGCCTCCTCGGACTTCGGCTACTTCCGGCGGACGTCGCGGACGAGAGCAAGGACCACGAGACCGCCGGCGGTGCCAACGACATCGGCGACTACGACAACTTCATGACGGATGGCAAGCAGGACGTCGAGCAGGACACCGAACGCGCCGGCAACCCGGTCCACGAGCACGACGGCGTCACGAACTCGGATGACGAGGCCTCGGAGGACGGCTGCGGCACGGACGGCGGCGTAGAGAACACGGCCATCGGCTACCTGGTTGTCGACGCTCTCAAGAGCAAGATCATGTCCAAGGGGCAGTCGGCAAGGGTCAGCCGAGACATCGAGGACATCACGGCGACAGATCAGATTCTCTGGGGCCAAATGTTGGGGAAGAAGACCAGAAGGCCATCGTTTCTCCCGCGTGGATGCCGGACTTTCCTCCTTGAACTGGTTGCTGGCGCTGCTGTCTTGACGCACATGGCCTCCTGTGACTATGGTCTTCCTGTAAGCGACCCGGTGGACATCCGACTTGGCCCAGGCCTCGACCTTCTTACCCGCGATGGCCGCGACGCTGTGGACCGCATCATCGAGCGGGACGACCCCTACGCCATCACCTGCTCCCCGGTTTGCGCCACGTGGTCAACTTGGACAAACATGCTTGCTGGGGACTCATGGGAGAAGTGCTTGGAGGAGAGGCGCCGGTGGACCCCAGTGATCGAGTGGCTCCAGAGCACGGCCCGCAAACGGCTTGCCAAGGGCCGACAGTTCCTCTTTGAGCATCCGTGGGGCAGTGCTATATGGCGACTTCCCATGAGCCGGCGGCTACTTGAACAACCACCGCACGACGTCTTCACCATGGATCCTTTAGAAGCAGTCAGGGCTGATCTGTGCCAATTCGGACTCAAGGATGCCAAGAACAACTTTCCGCGCCAAAGGCCGACTGCCTTTGTCACCGCGACCGCTGAGCTGAAGAAACGGCTTGCGCGGCTATGCCCTGGCACTCACCTGCATCAACCTCTTGAAGGAGCAGACCGTACTCGTCGTGCTCAGGAATGGACTCCCAAGCTGTGCAAGGCGATTTTGGATGGTATGCTAGAATCACTTGAGAACACCTCCGTCCAGACAGCCTTTCCAGCAGAGGCTGAGTTGGAAGACGAGATCGTGGACGATGACGACCCCGGCTACCTCGACGCAATCCTCACACCGGATGACGAGGCCACTGCGCTCAGCGATGGCGTCACCTTTGGCAACAGGCGACAGGACGAGCACCTCGACACCATCCGTGAGGAGACGGCGCCCCCTGTTCTACCTGAAGTGGAAGCTGCGCCTCTTATGGCTTCTCGGAATGCCTGGCGACAGCTCCCTCGAAGCCAACGTGTGGCGCTGAGGAGACTTCACACCATGACAGGTCACAGCAGCACAGCCGCCATGCAGCGGCTACTCCGGACAGCCGGTGCCGATCCCGCCGCCATCAAGGCACTCAACCACTTCCACTGCCCAGCTTGTGCTTGTGTGCAACGTCCCAACGAACCGCGACCTGTGAAGATGCCGAATGAGCACGCCTTCAACAAGAACATCTCCATCGATGTGTTCATTGTCCGAGATGTTGACGGCGTCAAGTACAAGTATCTATCCGCTGTGGACAATGGAACGCTGTACCACGCTGTGTGGCTAGTTGGCACTGGACATGGCCCTCCTTCGTCCTCTTCATGCGCTACAAAGTTCCGGGATGGATGGCTGTCCTGGGCTGGTGCTCCGGAGACTGTGACCCTTGACCGAGGCAGCGAGAACCGAGGCAAGTTCCAGGCCATGTTGAAGTCCCACGGGACTCTACTACGTTACACGGGGCTGGAGTCACCCTTCCAGCTCGGCCGAGGAGAGCGACAAGGCGCTGTGATGAAGGACATCATGCGACGTGTGGTTGCCAGCCGACAGCTCCAAGGGCAAGAAGCTATGGAAATGTTAGGCGTGGAGGCGGCTACGATCAAGAACAATCGCCTTCACCATGCCGGCTTCACTCCCAGCCAATGGGTTCTTGGACGACTGCCGCCAGAAGTCGACAGCCTTACTTCGCCTCTTGCGCCCGATCGACTTGGACAGCATCAGGAGATCCACGACGGCCAGACAGCCTTCGCAAAGCAGGCAGCCATTCGAAGCGCGGCTCGGCAAGCATTTTCGCAGGCCGACTCCTCTGAAAGGATTCGGGCAGCGCTCCTCAGGAAGAGTGTTCCAATGCGTGGCCCCTTTGTCCAAGGGGATCTTGTCTGCTTTCGCAGAAAGGCTGGCCCAGGACCCCACAAATGGTTTGGCCCTGCAAGGGTTGTCGGCCAGGAGGGCCGTTCGACTCTTTGGATCGTGCACGGTGGCATCCCTCTTACCGTGTCCGTTGAGCAAGTTCGTTTTGCAACAGGCGCCGAAGCCTTTGCCAAGAGGCAGCTGGAGCTTAAGCCGAGCCGGAAACGAAGACGCGAGGACCTCGACGGCGTGGACAGCGACGACCACGACTACCCTTTCGGCGACGACCTCAGTGGAGCTGGAACGGCAGCTGGAGCGCAGGGTACCTTCTTCGACATCAGCGAACCTGTGCCCGCTTCAGCGCCGTCGCTTATACCTTCACATGGACCTCCAGCACCTCCACCTGGACTACCTAGACCACCAGACGGCCCTGGAGGCGATGCTCCACCTCCTGTTCTTCCTGGACCTTCTCCTGACCAACTTCCTGGGGTGGACGTTCCTGTCCCAGATTCTCCCTTGGCGCCTACAACCGAGATCAGCTCGGAGCCAGATCAGGAGCACATGCCACCCAGCCGACGTGACTCCACCGAGATTCAACCTGCCGGCCCACCGGTGACCTTCACCCCTCTGCAGCAAGCTATGCATCGGTCTGTGGATGCACTTGATGGACACCAAGCACGGAAACGCGAGCTCTCTCCTTCAGTACGCACGGAGCCCACCTTTGAACGTCGACCACCTCCTGGACTACCGCCACCTTCAAGTACGGAGACGGCAACCGGGGCTCCAACTGCATCTACCTCCTCTCGAGCCTTTGGCGCCTTCTTGGCCAAGAGGACCGTGAACAAGAAGAGCGCCGCAGCCCGTGCCAAAGAGCTCAACTTCAACAAGTCCGAGGGCAAGCAGAGAGAAGGCATCGCGCAAGCACGCGGGAAGGAGTGGAACAATTGGAAGGATTTTGATGCAGTGGACGTGATCCCTCCTTCTCAAGTTGATGCCTTCCTGAAGGAGCACTCCGACATCGGCGTCACCCCGATGAGATGGGTAGACACCAACAAGGCTCAGCCATGGGAGGAGGCACGCTACAAGTCTCGCATTGTTGTGCGAGGCGACCTGGAATCTGGAGCTGCCGACGCACGAACCGATTCCCCTACTTGTTCATCCTTGATGCTCAACTTCATGTTATCCACGTGCGCAAGCAAGCGCTGGAAGATTCGTGGAGGCGACATCACCGCCTCCTTCTTGCAAGGAGAACCGATGGAGAGAACGTTGATCTTGAGTCCACCGCCAGGTGGCCTCCCAGGCGTGGAGCCTGGGTCACTGCTAGTGGCCAGAAAGCCCGTGTACGGCACACGGGATGCACCCCGCGGATTCTGGAGGAGACTTCATCGGGTATGTCTCGAACAAGGTCTGGAAGCCATTCCTCTTGAGCACGCCTGCTACGTGCTCAAGAAGGAAGGCCGCGTAGCAGGCGTCCTTATTTCACATGTCGACGACATTCTCTGGGCAGGCGAGCCGCAGATGCAAGACATCGCGGCCCGGCTCCGCAACGAGTTCAAATTTGGAACTCTTGACGACGACAAGCTCATCGAGTACTGCGGCCGGCAAATCTTTCAGGATGTGGATGGAATCCGCGTGAGCTGTCCTAATCCGGCTGCCAAGGTGCGTCCAATTCACTTGGACGGTCAACGGCGCAAGATGAGAGGAGCAGAAGCCACTGACTCGGAGCGCGGGCAACTCCGCTCCGTTGTGGGCACCTTGAATTGGTTGGTCCGTGTTTGCAGGATCGACATCGCCTACCAGGTGCACCGCCTTCAGACTGTCCTCAAGACCTGCACAGTGGACGACCTCCTCTCCTGTAACCAGCTCCTCAGCTACGTGAAGTCCACCCCGAATAAGGGCCTCTTCTTTCCGTACGGAGCAATGGAGATCGAGGATGCGAAGGTGCTCTCCCTCACAGATGCAAGCCACGCCGCGGACTTTGACACCTCGCAGGACGGCAAGCGGCTTGGCTACCGCTCCCAGGCAGGGAGGCTGCTGGTTCTCTGTGGGCACGACTTCCTGGAGAACTCCGGCGGGCAGGTCTACATCCTCGGCTACCACTCCAACGTGATAAGGCGAGTATGTCGCTCAACGCTTCAGGCAGAAACCTTGGCCTTGATCCAAGGATACGAGGAAGCAGAACATGTCCGGGCTCTACTTCACCACGTCTGCGGCGGCAAGGTGGACAAGACTCTCACCGAGGCCATGGACGCACGGGAGCTCATCATGCTGACGGACTGCCGATCGCTCGAAGAGCATGTGAACCAGGCCGGACTCCACACCGTGGCTGATAAACGGCTAGCTATAGATCTCTGCGGGATCAGACAGCTGGTGTGGCGAAAGGCTGGCGAGGAAGTTGGAGACCCCTTGTACTCTGATGCTCCTCCCGTGAACGCCACCACCTTGATCCGCTGGATCGATACGAGCACCATGGCGGCAGATGGGCTGACAAAGGCCATGAAGGCTCCGCAGCTTGACCTCCTCATGAGAAGCAGTCGTGTGGAAGTGAGCTTCACTAAGATCAGCTGACAGCTGATCCAATTTTCGGATCCATGCCCATAAAGAAAGTTATGGGTGTGAAATCTGAGGTCCCGACATGTCTATGCATGCATGAGCAGCATGGGCATGGACTGGCATCTGTTGGCTCAAGCCAGCGAAAAGGTGCGTTGCACTTTGCTACTTGGCACCAGTGCGGGAGTTTGCTCTCGCACTCAGTAATTTTAGAACAAAAGCCTCTTTCATGGACGAGATATATTCCATAACACCCTTTTCTCGAGTTTCTCAATCTATTATTCTTCTATTTCTAATTTCTTTAGAAAAAGTTGGGGGAGGGGGGTGGGAGGTGGTTTATTAAAAGTAGAGCAATAGTTTACGAGATTTTCATCGATTTAGGAACCCGTATTCCAAATCCCACTTGCGCTTCCGCGCAGCGCGCGGTAGCACAAGCGACCCCATCCATAGCACAAGTGCGCGCTATGGCAACCTAAACTGGAAGCACAAGTAAGTGAAAATGGACCATGTAGAACGAGGAGTCTTGCTGGACTTGCCCTTACGCACGGCGCGCGGAAGCACAAGTAGGTGAAAACGGACCATTTAGAACGAGGAATCTCGGTGGACTTGGCGCTTACGCGCAGCGCGCGGAAGCACAAGTAGGTGAAAACGGACCATTTAGAACGAGGAATCTTGGTGGACTTGCGCTTACGCGCAGCGCGGACCATTGAGAACGAGGAATTTTGGTGAGGTTGCACTATCCGACACTTTGGAACGGGAGGCTTCCCCACCGGAGGCATTTGGGATCTTTAGAGTAAATTGGTATAAATTCAGAATCTATTATATTGTCATTATCCGACGAGTGTTCCATTCAAACTAGACGGGTGTGATATTTGTCCTCCTTCCCATAGAATTCAAAGGATTGTTGTGATTAAACGGATTAAACCATACATGAATATTTTTGAACGTACAGTGCACTAGCCAAGCTAATGCGGGCAGGCGCCAATCAATTTTGAATCTGACAGCGGGGTACCTTCGTTAACTGCACTTGTGGATGACAGGTGCATCTCACGGAGCAAGAGTTTTTCAACCAAAGAGTTACTCTTCTTAGGTTCATTGTGCTGCTCACGTCTGAAAAACTCCCACAAGCATGACAGATCAGGCATTATCGACTGCATCTAGTCTCACATCTCCCTCGCGTACCAAACGACAAACTCCGGGTAGGCCTGCGCGGCTTGAGCTGCATCTGGCAAGTGTGAGCTTCGAGTGTCCTGGTCAGTGTCGAACACGATCATTTCGCGGAACCTCGGAACTTGCAGGCAGCGGCATTCTTGGCATGATGTCAAGACATCTTAACCATGTCGGCTTGACAACTGACAGCTGTTTCGTGCTCTTTCTTAAGTCTCGCGCGTGTTGCGGATCTTTTCGCGATCTCCCAACACTGAGTGGTTTTCACCTCTGGTACAGCGCCTGCGCTGAACACGCACACACACACAATGCTGGACAAGATGTTGCCAGCAACGCAACAATCGATCGCACTTGCCTCACAAGATCGTTCGTGTTCGGGTATTCTTCATCAGTATACCTTTGTACACACAGAGAACAGGCGTCCTACCGACAGTGACACGTTTGGGATGTGCGATGATGGAACATCAGTGTGACCAACCCTTTCGCCACTGTCCGTAAAATCAGCTTGGATGTGTGAAATGATACCTTGCAAGTAAGCTTGAGACAGCAATCGGCCAAGCGTCACACGACAGACCTTGGCTGAAAGCTCGCATTGCCATTATTCTTCGACGTGAAACTCGCGACAGACAGCCAGCTGCAGCATGACCTCACTCCATGCCACCGACATCTTTGAGCATGAGATAGCATGAGGTTTCGTACATCTCTGAGAGCTGCTTGCCGTATGAGGTTTCGTGCATCCCTGAGCTACTTTGAGGTTCGTACAGGTATGATTCAGACTTGAGCAAGCACAAAGCTACAGCATGAACACTCTGTCGCCATGTCTAAGCTCAATCAGCGGAAGATGTCAATCGAAGCCCAAGCCACCAACATGCAGCAGAGTCCTGGCAACATAAAGGCTTCTTGACGTTCTGAAGGCAAATGTGGAGATGCTCTAGGACCTTTCAGCAACCTTTTGCCAACTCGTCCCGTTGCATTTTGATGGCACTGGACTCAAAGACCGTCACTTTCAGAAGTTAATGCAGCGGGCGTTCCATGCTTCAAACACCATTCTCCGAGAAACGGACAAGATGTGCTTATGTGCCCAACGCCCACAGAGCATACATGCCAAGCAAGACTGGGGCAAAACTCTTGATTCGTGCAAACCTCCATGATTTTTGGGTTGGTCTCACGCGACGAGCCCGGGCTTTCCCTGTGAACGTCTCTGCGGATTTGCTTATTAGTTTTCAGCATCGACTTAATTAGACTCTGTGTACCCCAAGCAATCTGAGTCGCATAGTTCCCGCGGCACAGGGTTTTCTCCACTTTTTTTGTCGGTGGAACTATGGGAGGGCCATTGGGCCATCCATGGCTACCAAGAAGAGACTACAACCAAGATGCCCCAACCCAACTTAAAGAGACTTCGGCATTGAGATGAAGGGGCTTGCGTCGACTCGCATCTTGATATGACTTTACACTGACCTGGCCGGGCATCATAAGCGCAACTAGCCACGCAGCCTCCCCCAACGGCTGCACAGTTAGTTACTTTTCCATGCCCTGATAAGCCATCATACACAAAATTCATGTACCGAACGTTCATCTTGGAAGCATTCACACTTTACACAACCTGTCCGGTGAGATGCATCGACTTACAAAGCTCTGTGCTTTTGAACGGTCTTCTGGGCAAATGGCTGCAGAGCAACGGCCCTTAATCGTCTGTCCGAAGGGGGGCAGGACGGCCCGCCAATTGCTTAGTTGAAGGATGGTCTAAGTCAACAATTGTCTTTTGTATTGTCGGCGGTTGGACAACAAGAAGGCACTCTTGTCGCCTTAGTTTCAGCATGTATGTCACAGGTTCAACAACACCTCAAACATGCATTGCTGGCCTCGGTCATCTTCAGTTGCGTACCTCTCGGCGTGTGGAGTGCAGGTCTGAAGATCCCCATGTCCGGACTTCGCACACCGGAGCGCACTCATCGCTTTTGCCAGTGCTCTCGCCTGAGCGGCCAGCTTCTCTCTTCTCTCCCCCCGCGTTTACTCTGGGCATCGAGCTTGTGCTCATGGATTGCGAACCGGAAATCCAGGACTCAAGCTGAAGTAGAGACCTCTTCCGTAGAGCGTCCCGGCCTGAGCCGCAGGGATGCCTTTGACTTGCTTCTTCCTTTATGCTGCTTATGCCCTCTTGCACCATCCCCGCAAGCTTCTGCTTTTGTGCCGGGGGAAAAGCTGCTACATTTGAACGAGCGAATCGCGCTGAGCTGACGTCATTTGAGCCAGCCAAGTCGAGACGAAAATCACCTTTCAAACTTCTAAAAGGTCCGTAGGTGATTGTGGTCATGTGGTCTGGGCATGCACGGCCTTCCGTTATGGCCAAAGCTGATGACGGCTTCGTGCCTATCACAGGGAAGTGCTGTGACAGCAGCGTTGAACTGCCTGTCTTGAGGACGAGACCAACAACTCACGGGCAAACCAAGGCTGCAGCCGTGGAAAAGGTAAAACTCGTTTATGCTGGCCTTGGTGTGTCCATGTCACTCTTGGTTCCCGAAGTGCTGTCTCGGAATACCGTACTACCCTGACATCAGCATGGAGTTGCAGCCGCGACACATCAATCGGATCGTTCGGAAGGTCGTGTGATTCTCTCCACACTCTGTGGAACCTGCCACTTGTTTCGTCCGCTCAAAGGAGGAGCAGCAAGTCCAGTCCAGATTCGTATTCGTAGCGCAACCAGTCAACAAAGGCGAACGCTGCGTGTGAGCCAAGCTTTGCCGGGCCAACTGCTTGCCACTCGGCAGAGGAGCGAAGGTCTTGCACACCTCTTGGCAAGCATTGGCAAACATGGCATCGATCCCTCCATGAGTGCTCGCTGAGCAACAAGACGGAACAAAGACTCGGACCGATCTGTTCTCGAGCTGATGGAGGAACATCGGTGGCACAGGGCCTCGCCCCACACATGGCTGATGCTCTTGGTGCCAGCACATTCAACGACTGATCGATCTCTTTTGTTGAAGCAAGAGCTTGGCAGCGCACGCTCTTGGCACTGCTTCCGAATCTCCTAGAAACGCAGGCCAGCTGAGACGAGCGTGAGAGGGCAGGTTGAGCAGAAGTCCTCACGTCTTCTCATGTACTCCACAAAGTTGGGCAGGTTCTTCACCACCTTTCGAGAACTCAGCACATGATCACGAGAACACCTAAACTCAAGATGACTGGGGCCAAGTGGCCATGGCTTCCTTGACGATCAACCTTGACCTGCATCACGAGAACCACCAGTTTCAAACAAAAACCGGCGGCTTTCGCTATCACCCCCTTAGATCTTGGCGGCACGTCTCCACGCCGGTCCTTTGTGCGCACCTAATGGTGGCACAGCTCAGGGGACGAAACACTTTAGGACTTGTTGGGGCTGCGGCACGACGATACGTAGCATCGAGAAGCTCCTGGAACACCTGAAGAGGCCAAGCATGTAGATTGCACCATGTCCAGGTGTGCGCAACAGCTCCATGAAGTAAGCAAAAGCATGTGGAGATGTGCAGCAGCTCCACTGTAAGTTGTGCAAGTGCCCAATGCCCGACCACTCCGCTCCATAGGTGTTGACCTACAGCATTCCCACTGCAATGGTTTCAGCCATGTCACCTGTTTTTTTCAACATTGTGTCTTATGTCAGGGAGGTCAACCTGTTTAGGGCAGGGGAGTTGGTTCTGTTGGCGCAGCGGAGAGGGGGTGTAGGTGGGGGAAGGGTGGGGAAGAGGAGGGGGGAGGGAAGGAGGGGGGGGGAGGGAAGGGAGGGGGGAGGGAAGGGAAGGGAGGGGGGAGGGAAGGGAGGGGGGAGGGAAGGGAGGGGGGAGGGCAGGGAGGGGAGGGGGGGTGGGGGGAAAGGAGTGAAGAGAGGGGGGTGAGGGGGAGGAGGTGCCTGAACCAATGGTCCCTTAATGAAATTCGGACATCTGCTCGGTACTATGGACAGCCCAGTACCGCCAGTACCGCTTCCAAGGCTCACGCCTCGCAAAGAGTGCTTTGCAGCTGCTCTTTCTTCACGCTGCCTTCGAGAACTTCATCGAAGAACACTTAAGATGCAGAGGTGTCCCATACTGAGGAGCCTGCTCTTGGTAATGTTGCTAAGAACTTGTTCATCATCGAAATACCTGACAAGCAAAAAGTCAAGCACGACGTCCAGGGCCCAGCGTATGCCCAACGTGCAAGGCGGTTGGCAGTGACTTAGACACTTTGAGCTCTTTTTGCACCCTTTTTGTGACTTTGAAACCCATATTCACTGTCAAAGGAATGCCATCCGCTACCCATGGATTGATGGGAGCCTCTCGAGTCCACAAGTGCAAGTGAGGCACGGGGGTAAAGCAAGCATCTCCTTGTAAGCCTGCGAGGCTGACACGAAGCTAAATGCAGTTTGCAAGAGCCAGGGGCAATGAATATGCTTTCCATCATATTCTTCCGGTCCACAAAGCTCTCCCCCTGCCTTGAGCGCCTCATGGAACTTCGGATCCTGCCGCTCCACTCTCTGTGCGAAGGTGAAGTCTGGAACGAATCTGCACTTCAGAACTCAGTTGCGCAAAGCTGCAAAAACCTGAGTCAGGAAGGTCAAGGCAAGCCATGCCCCTTTTCAGTGCCTCGGCGACCAAGGAATGCAAGTTGGCATCCTGCACGAGTTCCCAAGTGTGTCGCTTCAGTCTGCGAATTTTGGCATCGATGTCATGATGATGCCTCCGCTCGAAAAGCATTATCCCTTGCCAGTGCCTGCAAGAACCTTAAATGCGCAAGAACCTGCGAAACTAAGAAAAGCCTCAGGGCCCCCATATCATTCCACATACAGCCGTGTTCCCTTACAATCACTTTTCGTCATCTTCGATCATCTGAAGAGAGGATTACCGCCGACACAAAGAATGGGAAAGAGCAGATGCAGAACGTTCATATTGGCAGTCCTCGATCGTCTCCTGAAGCGTTGCACGCAACACCTCCTTTCAGAGAAGAGACTGATAGTTGGGACAGGGTGACACTCGGAAAACAAAACTCTGCTGCAAGAACAACCGGCATGGAAGCAGCAGATTGTGAACATGACGACAGTGTGAGCAGTCCACTGTGGGCATGTGCTTAACAATGCCTGTTTGCTGTTTGCACGCATGGCAAATGCAAAGGAATGTAACAAGTTGACTCCTGATCCTTTCTTGCAACAGCCTCAGTGATCCACACCCTTGTGACACTTGTGCTCATGCTCACGGCACGCACACATCCACAACAAACTGTTCAAGCTCTTCTCTTGTCCTTCACCCACTAGGCTAAGACGATTGCGCATCTCTTCTTGGCCCCCTGCATCTTGTAGGTTCTGCAAGCAGAGCTGCCTGAGGACTCAGAATGTCCGAAAGGCCTTCTAAAGCAATCTTCTTGCAGAGCCTGCGAATGCAATGATCCTCGTCCCCGTCGCGCCATGGCCAAAACAAACAACAGATGAGCAACTGTAGCAACAATCGCTCAAAACAACACAGTCGTAGCCGCTACGGCCTCAATGTAATAGCAACGACACTGTAATCGCACAGGCATAGATTGCGAACAGCATGACGTGACAAGAAACATCAACATCATCATGGCCGACGTCGTCAACATCTGTCATCGTAGCCTGACAAAAACATCAGCAGTGGCGGCAGCGGCAGCAGCGGTGCCAGCAGCAGCGCCAGGAGCAGCGCCAGGAGCAGCGCCAGGAGCAGCCACAACAGCCACCACCACCACCACCACCACCACCACCACCACCACCACCACCACCACCAACAATTAGGACGACGACGACGACAACGACGACGACGACCACCACAACAACGACAACAGCGACAACAACAGGAAGCGGCAGCGGCGGCGGCGGCGGCGCGGCTCCAACAACAACACCAACACCAGCACTGCCAGCACCCCCGCACACCAACACCACCAACACCACCAACAGCAGCAACAAACAACGACGACAACGACGACTAACGCAACAACAACGACGACATCAACCGCAACAGCAATGGCGACAACAACAAACTGCAACTAACCTAGCGTCATCGGCATCGCCGTCATCATCGTCCCCACGGCTCTGGCCTTTGCAATTCCACCAGTCGCGTATACTCCGGCAAGTCCGAGTAGCCATATTGAACGGCCTGAGGACAGTTCGGATGAAACAATCAAGCGAGCGTTCAGCGAATTCATGGACGCCGCCCTCCGCCCGCCCTTAGCTTCAGCTTCTTTATGCGTTTCCAGGGCGCGCAGTGGCACGTGCCCGCCTCGGCGCATGCCTTGCGCACGGCCTTGCGGCTGCAAGTGGCGATGGCACGTTGAAGCGACTGGCCTGGCCATTGCTGCACATGCCCCCCCGCAGGCTTCGCTTAGTCAGGCTTTGTCGAAGCTTTGTCCTTCCTGGACATGCTCTAGTTTGCTGTTGCATCAGGGCATGGGACTCGTTCAACCACTTGTCCACCGACTTAGCAGGAGGGCTCCGCCATGGCGAAAAGCTTCCACACCAACAAACAATGGGCCCTTGTCAAGTCAAATGCCCGAGTTTTGTCGCATGTCGTCCTGAGGCAGCCCAGCCAGGCTGATTCGCGATGTCAGATGTCACAACTAGTCTTGCTGCAACAGAATTTAAGTGAGCCAGTTGCACGAACGCCCTTCTTGAGCGCTGCCTTCAAGCTGCTGCGATGTAGCAAGTGCTGTACTGAAACTACTGTGGTAGGCGAGTCAATGGAAGCAAGCGCAGACAAACGCGGATGAGACAGGCGCACAGATGATCGGTGAATGCACAACCGCACGACAAAAAGACCAAATCTGCATGACCTTGAGAAGCCTGAAACCCCTTGCAAGCGGAAAGCTGTGGTGGCCTCTGCTTCTGCAAATTCTGGCCGCGCGAGCAGGGAATCTGCCAGCAGTCAACTACAAAGATGCAGAGATTGGATGACGCAGCCCAGCAGCCCAGGGTTCCCCGCAAGCCCTCTGAGCCCCCCTATTGCCCGGAGGTCCAAGAGGCAACCCGATCCTTTTCAACGCGCACTCGCCTGCAGTGCTTGCCTTGCCGGCCTTCCAAGAGACTTCACGGGCAAAGGTGTTGGACGACTTTTGCCAACCACGGCAGCTCAAACAAAGCACATGGCCTGTAGCAAGCTGTGCAGCATCTCGAGGTCACCTCTGCCAGCTGTTGAACCAACCATGGACCTCCTCATGTCAACACTTAGCTACAGTTGCGTCATAGCTACGCTGTTTGGCATCAGGAATATGCCGACCACTCTGACGAAACAAAGTCACAGGACACCTCCTTCTCCCTTGTTCCGAAACGGTCTGCCTTGGAGGCCTCTTCTGCATCTACCAAGTACGCCCCGCCTCTCCCGTTTCAGGACTCTGCAAAGCTGTCAACAGCTTATTTGTTGTCCGACTTTCCTCCCCGTCTCGGACAACCGGAGTATCAAGGAACCGCCCCTAGGGAAGCCCTTTGCCAGGAGCTCGGAGGTTGTCTTTCGGACTGAAATTCGTACCCTGATGCCGTGCCCGGCCAAGGCACTTTGATCGCACGCGACAGCCCTGACTACCATGGTATGGTGAAGCATGATGGTCCGGCTCGGCTAATTTCGCAGCACTTCCACCGCGCCTCTAGCAGCGGCATCTGCAAGCTGCCTGTGAATGTGCCGGATATGCTTTGCCGTGCTTTGCCCTGCTCACATGCCTGTTTGCGATGCGCACTCAAGCCTTCCCATCTGCTCCACCCTCTTCTCCTCCAGCACCGCATGGAGGGCATCCACCGCGTGCTTGTACAGCCTCAACTTATATCTGTTGATCCAATGACTGCTGAGTATGCCAACTTGGGGGTGAGGGCCTGGGACGAAAGCTAGTTAAGGTACCCCCACGGAAGAGCTTCCGTCAACATGGCATCAACTAGTCAACATGGCATCAACTACGCAGAAGGACAAGCACACGCAAAGGCAGCAGGTCGTGTCACCTTTTTTCTGGCGCAGGTGCCAATATTGACGTGGCATTCCTTCTGGCAATGTGTTGGTGAGTTGCTTTGCTCTGCGGTGTTTTAGCATCTTCCGGAGGGCTCTTTTTTGAAACGCATGACACCACAACAGATGTTGCACTTACCAGGGGAACCTGTCCAATCCAGCTTTGAGGGACGCCGGACTCAAGTCAACATCAAGGCTTCTGAGTCTTTTCTTAGGGGGCTTTTCTGTTAGCATCTTCCGGAGGGCTCTTTTTTGAAGCGCATGACACCACAGCACTCACCAGGCGAAGTCTGACGTCTGTCCAATCCAGCTTTGAGGGACGCCAGACTCAAATCAACATCAAGGCTTCTGAGTCTTTTCTTGGGGGACTTGGGGGGCTTTTCTAGGGCCTGGGATCCACAGAAAACGGCGTTCATTTGCACCCAATATACGAAAGAAATGAACGCCAGCCCGTTTCCCCAAAACCTGTGTTCGCCACCCGGAAACCGACCGGGTTTGCTGCGTTTCGTGGCGGAGCCTCCGGGGGCCCTGTCTACCCATCAGGTTGTAAGCTTCGCTTAAGCAAGATACTCCGCTAGCTCCTCAGGGGCTAGCTTTCGTGATTACTTCGATTGAGAACGCCGTCACCGGAGAAGACTCGCGGAAGCCACGCTGGTAGGGCAGACCATGTACAAAGTGCAACGTGCTTGAGGAGTGCTTGGTGGGTTGGGCGTGTTGTTGGCGACATGTCAACCCGAGATCCCTGCCTTGCAGAGGTCTGATCGTACTGCTGGGCACTGAGGATTGCCTGCATCAATCTGAGCCCGAAAGTCGGGTAACCACCACAATGCTGCAAGCGAAAATCAATTCCAGGATGCGGTTTTTTTTACTCCGTGCTTCCCCCGAGACTGTCGCAGCACAGGGCAGCGCCCATCGCACCAGAGAGAAAGCAGACTTTGGCACTGCACTTCGGTGCGCGCACTCCCCACACAAACATGGGAATCGTGCACTCCACATCTGTGATCGTGCTCGTGCCAAGACTTCCACAACATCAGACCACAGCCCAGCATGTGCAATGTGCTACTCTTCTATGCTGACATAGTGGAAGATGAGTTCAAACGAGCGCAATGACAGAGCAGACGAGCAGAATGTAGCGCCATACCTCAAGCCCAAAATCTCAGGCTTCTCGTGAGGTCTGTGCACAAGACGCACGAAACCCTACAGTACAAGGCATCCAAGACAGGCGGTAGAAGTCTGCGCAACTGCCATGCCACCCCGCAGCACGGCCAAGTTCACATTCTGAAGATGGCCTTCTTAGCCCCTTGCTATCAAATCCCATATGGGCCTCTTGTCTTGGACCCCCCTCTCTCCCGGCAAAACCACTTCTGGGTCGGCCGGAGGTGTCTGCCAGTTTTCAAACGGTGCATCTTGCCCGCTAAGGGACACAGGACAGATTCTTGCGCCCTATGTCGAAAACATTCGGACAAACATGCCTTTGAGCTTGTCACGCTTTCGCAGCTTTGGCTCGTCTTCTGGCCTGCACCATTCGCGTTCGAACAGCTCTCAGCCCACACATAGCCTTCTCATGTTTCTGAAGACCCCACCAGCACAACTAGCTCCCAGCACATCATGAGAGTGCCTCAAGGAACTTCTCGTCATTACATGCAGGAGCTACCAATAGAAAGCTTGGACTATTGGGATGTCTTCCTCCTTACATCATAATTCTGGCTGCTCACCGGGCGTCTCTGGCCTGTTCAACGAAATGATCTCCTTCGAGATTGCTCTTTCAGCCGCTTCAAGCGCATCGTCGTCCGCACCACCACTTTTCAAGTAGCCTGGGGTCCAGGAGCCACAAAACCACACTCACGTGGATCTGCAGCCCCTCTGTGCGAAGCTACTTTGAAGACACTGGCAAGTGACAAATGAACTCATCATACGAGATCTTGCCATCATGATTGACATCGAGGTCCCTCATTACCTGAGTAGCTTCTCGATCGCTTTCCAGTACCTTGCTGTCAGCGCACTGAACTGAAACTTGGCGTGAAGAAAGAGCAACGAATCGTCTCAACAAAACCGTTTGACAACCTAGAAGTAATACTAGCTTGCCCTTGGCTGTTGCATCTGGACACCAGCACAAGATCCTCTTTGCGGATGAAGCCGGTGTTTTCTGTGTCAAACCGGCGAAATGCATCCTTCAGAAGGTCGTCGTGCAAAGAAATCCGTGAAGCCATCATGGCAGCCAGAAACTCTGAGTAGTGGATCTCATCGTGTTCTACATCACCGATGGCATTGAACACCGTCTCTGCTTGCAACTCTGGAATGTGGAAGTTGTCTTCTAAGACTTTCTTGAAATCGGCGGCTGTGATGGTGCCGGTGCTTCCTTTGTCCAGCTCAAGGAACGCCTCCCGCACTTGCGACCTGCATAGACATCGCTGGACTGGCACTTGCTTTCGAAACTTCACAAGAGCACGCTCTTCCGTCTCGTGTGATCTCCTAAAGAGTTGCTACTACGCTGCATCTGCCCAGCCTTTCGGATGCCGTGAGGGACCAGGCCATGAGCTTCATGCATGATCTGCGGAAGTTCTGCGACTTCGCGAAGTTACACAGCGAAGTCACCATGGCTTCATCGATGCAGTCGCTGTTTGCATGGTCTAAATTCTTGATCCAGGGATGTTCCAAGGCGGCTGGTGCGGTCATTCGCGCATCTGGGTCGACTACGAGAAGCTTCTGCACAAAATCAGCGGCCTGGGTGGAAACTTTTGCCCACCTGTCCTTCTTTACGATGTAATGCCCAGACCGAATCATCTGAATCTGCTTTCGTTCATCGTTGCCAGCAAAGGGCATGTAGCCGACCAGCAGGATGAACACGATCACGCCCAAGCTCCACAGATCACACTGGCTAGTGTAAGACTTTGCGAGAACCTCTGGGGCTGCATAAGAGAGGGTTCCGCAGCTCAGCTCCATCTTGGTGTTCTTGGCCCACACCTGCAGGGAAGTAGGGAACGGTTATTTAAATGACTGGTTCCTGTTACCTGTGCAGAATCTGCAAAGCAGAGCTGGGAAGAGCCGGAAACATGCATGTCCTTACAAAGCACTCTTCAGAACAAGCCCCAGGCGTGCCTTGCTGAATCCGAAGTCTATGAGTTTCAGGAAATCTCCATCCTTGCGCTCGTACAGGAAGTTCTCAAGCTTTAAGTCCCGATGCACAATGCCCGCGCTGTGCAAGTAGTTGACTGCCAACAGCATCATCCATGCTGTTTTGCAGGCATCTTTCTCCGAGTAAATCTTCTTCTCGCGCACCCGATCGAAGAGCTCACCACCTTCCATGCATTCCATGACGAGGCTCAGCCTGTCTTCCTCCTGCCCAGTGCAATGCAAGGCTCGCACGCGCTTGCCGGCTTTTGTAAGTGCACACATCAGTGCAACGATCCGACCTCGTAGACGTCAAACAGTCGGACAATGTGTGGATGGTCCATGCCTCACTCGAATAGGTCATGCTAGGCTGGCTATGCTTGGGTCGTACTCAGCGCAACAAGGTCTAATGCTGGGGTGTGTCTCTCGCACTCGCAATAACGCAAGTCAGTCATCAGCATGCATGCATCTGCATGCATCTAACGCTTCCCCGGTATCATTAAGCAACCTGTTAAACCTGTTTCAAATAGGCTGAGCAGCTTAGAAAAATTTCTGCCTCCGATGCCAGCTCCGCCTTCTTCCTGAGGCAAGGACAGACCAAGCTTACAGCATCCCGGCAACAATGGCACATGGTGAGCCCAAGATAACCCAAAAAGCACATGTGCATGTCCGAGCACGATGACTGAGAGACCAAACTAGACCAGTGGCTCTTTGCTGACACCATGCAGCTTGAAGGCTTTGATGGCGAACTTGCCCGCTCTGTTCTTGCCTCTGGCCAACAGTACCGAGCCATTGTAGCCCGTCCCAAGGGCCTTGGAAAGCTGACAGGCGCGAAGTTACGTAGTTCTCGCTCCTCGCATGTTGTGCGCGGAATTCACGTGCCTTCTTCTCAACGAAGTAGTCATCCTCCAGTCGAGAGGGAAGTCGATGGTATCGCCCCACAACCGAAATGTGGCCCACCCTGTCTTCCGCCCTGGTCCTCACTTCAGCACTCTTTCAGCGCAATCCACAGACTGTCACAAGCTGCTAGGAGTGATGCTAGCGCTTCCTTTTTGGCACGTGCGCTCACTTGCAGAGTGGCGGCTTCAGCTTCTAGCCTCAATCATCCCTCGAAGCCAGCCGTCTTGGGGAGAGTAGGCAGGGTCATGTGCACCCTTGTCCGTCTGTCCGTGCCCATGACTCAGCAGGACCATCGCCTGTCCCTCATGGCTCTCTCAACGGTTGCTCTGCCTTGCCATATTTGACAGGCTTATGTACTACTGTCTCAACTTGTTTGATAGCGCTAGCCCAAGAAGGCTGGAATCAACAATTGAGCAATTTGCCCACCCTGATCATCCTCGAGTCAGTACTCAGCCAGATGTTTTGCGGAATCGCTACCGCGACAGCCTACAATGGCCAGAAATGCAGGGAAGACCTTCTTCTTGCTCTCCTCCTTCTCTGGGGGGATAAAGATCAGGGCTACCCTCGTACGCCAGCACACCCCGACGTCGGCATGAGACCGACTCAATGAAAAAACAGGCGTAGAGTGCCAGGCCTCTACTCCTTCAGGGCCGTCTTGCAGACCAGCCGCACAGGCCAGAAGGGGGTTCCCCCCTCTCTCTCTCTCTCTCTTCTTCTTCTTCTTCTTCTTCTTCTTCTTCTTCTTCTTCTTCTTCTTCTTCTTCTTCTTCTTCTTCTTCTTCTTCTTCTTCTTCTTCTTCTTCTTCTACGGGGCCTGAGGAAGGGTTCCCCCTTCCCGGCACACTGGGCGCGCCCAGCCACGCGATCCAGTCTCAGTGATACTTCACCCAGAGACCCGGCTAAGCTGGGTGTACGATGAGGTTGCTTCCTTTCCCCCGAGAACACAACAACTTGACGGAAAAAGAATGACGCCCATGCCGTATTCTCGAAGCACCTCATCCCGTAGGTCTCTCTCTCTCTGGTTAAAGTTGCCTGCAAGTGTGGGTCGCCATGGCTGCTTCGGTTGTTGCATTTCTTTGCTGCGGTGCCTTTTTCACGATAGCAGATGTGCTGTGGGAAAAAGCCTTTCAAAGCCAGTTGTATAACCAAGCCTCGTGCCGCCAAGAGCCCTTTGCCATTAGCAGGTGTTTAGACACGCGTGACAGGGCATTATACTCTGCCAGAAGCAGCTTAACAAGTTTCAGTGCACGGTCCTCACTGCATCCAGCGAGTTTGTAGAGCCGGTGAGGCCCATGCTGCTCGACAGGGAGGCAGGCCAGGTGCCGTTTGATGAAAAAGGTTTAGGACAAGTAGGACTGACTACGCAGAAGGTCAAGCTAGATTTGTTCTCCCATGGTGCATTTGTAATGGCATGCTTGAGTATCTTCAGCTGTGTTCGGGGTTCTTCTTGGGTCATTGTGTTACAGCGCCTGAGAGCAAAAGGCAACATCAATATTGCTAAAGCTATGAGCACAACAACAGTGCGCAGAGACTCTGAAATCAGCCGTAGCGCTTCGCAATCCACAAAGAAAGTAGCTCCAGGCCGAGTCTCTCTCGACGCTCTCAGTACCGACTGGCCTGTTTCAGCTCGAGTTCGTTACGCGCCCCAATCGCAGCTTCCAGCTCGATTGCCACAAGTGTCCTGACTCAGCAAAGCTGCTGTCATCCGGAAGACTGTGGGTTGGCACAAGCTGCGAATGTCGGGGGGTGGGGGTCCGGGAGTTGGGAAGGGGAAGGGGGGGGGGGGGGGGGGGAGGGGTAGTTCCGGTCCTGATGGCAGGCTCCTCTTCCGGCAGTTGGGCCACCTCTGTTCAAACTCTTGCTTCTCGGAGCGTCTATACTTAACCTGAACTGGGGTACCATGTCACACATTAGAAAAGGCATTCTACCCCCGACCTTATCATGACAACAAACATGCATCAGCCATGGCACTACGTAGCGAATGCAGCGGCTTGCAAAATTCTCTGTGAACCCTCAGCCCACAACCACCCACCCCCCCCCCCCCCCCCACAACAGGCCAATCTTGGCATGGCACCTTTGCATATCGCAGCATCTCGAGGCCGGCTGTCAGTCTTTCTCTGTCCCGGGCCTCGGAAGCTAGCTGCATCTGAAAGTGTGGGCTGATCCTGGTTCAAGTCTGTCAGACTGCTACACGACTCATACCTGCAGTCATACCTTCCCGATAGCGGACAAGCACGTGGGGTTGCCCACAGCCAGTGTTTCAAAAGATGCAGGCACTTGACGCAAGGGTTTCTCCAGGGAAGCTACAAGCCCAGGTGGTCCGATTCGCAACTGCAGTGCCGAAACAAGTCCCCCAACGCGGCCTCCAGTGCAGCAAGAAGCTCTTTCTGAAGAACTTGCACCAATAGCAAGATGGCGTGCATAATTGCTGGATGAACCTTGCCATGCAGACGAAGACACTTTTGAACTTCTATACAGCAGCAGACGACAAGTTTGCAAGCCCAAGCCCAAGTTGAACTTCACCTCCACAGCTGTACTGGCAGCTACCGACAGTTCGCATCCTGGTAGAGCCATTTACAGACAACGGAAATTTAACGCCGCATGCCAGTCGGATGCCTCGTCTTGGTTCTTCATGGGCGGTGCCTGCTCGGATATGTGGCACAGTCGTGGCACCACTGACACTTGCCAGTGCTGTGGTCATGCTTTCATAAGAAGTCGTAGAATCGATTCAGGCACAATCAGTCCTGTGAGACTGCTGCGCAATACGCAGGCCAGGAGCAGACAAAGCAGAGAGCGATGAAACCACTTGAACGTTCATAACGGCTCGATACAAAAACAAGACTCTACACGTAACTTCTGGCTGACTCCGGCTCTGCCCATAGCCTCGAGCACTATAAACCCGTTGGAGAGACTATGGAAAAGATGTCCGACCACGGCAACTTTTCAAAGCTGCGAAAGCATGGAGGACCGGACTGGCTGTACACAAGCCAAGAGGAACAGCTGTCGGAAAGCTTCCTTCACATCTTTCCGATAATACAGCCTTAGTCTGCACAACCAAGCAGACCACATGCGAGCTCAGGCATTTCGGCGGACTTTGGAACTCTAGGGATCCAGGATTCCCTTTTCCTGGTATGGTAGGGTATGTCATGTGTTCACATGTCTTCAAGAAGCCGTCTAATGACTTCCCAATGTCCCAATCAGCTCAACACAGCCATGCACAGTGATGCTTCCGCACCGGATCTAGTGGCATACAACTGGCCAGCGCGTTTCAGACTGCGTTGTGGTGTTGGCATACTAGATACAGGTCGGATCTAGTTACTGTCTAGTTCCTGGAAGGAGTGACACTGGCCCGACTCCACGGGAGGTCGCAACCTCCCAAAAAAAGTGCGGGAGACCCCGTACCAGTTTTGGAGTTTTCCGGCCCCTGAATTCGATGAAAAGACGTACGGGCGCGCGCCGCATGTAATTACCCTTTTCGGAGCTCAAACAATGTTTGTGTGTGAAGTGGGCTTGTGGCACGAGCGCACGTCTCCCAAGAAGCTGAATAATGGAACTTAGCGTACTTGGTGCGGGAGGATATGTAAGTTCAAAAACTTAGGTTACACTGCCTTTGTGGCGCTGCTTTCTTACGCAACGATATTTCACTATGCGAACGATAACCTTCCTCTTCTGACATTGCATCTTGCTGAAACTCTGCCGGACTCCTATTTGAAGGGGTTTTCTTCCAAATTCGTGTCCCTTTGGGGGTCCTTATTTGAAGGGTGCCGTACAATACAGGACCCACAAGGGACAGAATTTAGAGAACTACCCATATGAAGGGATTAGGCGTCGGCAACTGTGGAGAAGCCACATGCAAGCCGGTGGCTCTTGGCTTGAAGAGTGGAGCATCGAACCAGCCGGAAGGGCTTCTCGTGGTTCAAGTCTAGCGCCTGCCATCTGCAGGATGCTAACTGGGGGGATGTTCCCCCTTATACGAACACATCCCAAATGCTAGCCAAGAGGCTCAACAAACAAAGCAAGACGTGGTTTGAGTTTGATTCTCTCAGTAGCAGAAACCATTTGGACAGAACCTATACAGTGGGAGCTTCATCAGCATAAACGGACAGTTGCCGAACACAAGGCAGAGTTGACGCGCACATGCATGACCCGGATGCGGACTGGCATGCTGTTCACGCCTACATTGTGTAGAGTTGCAGGCGCACGCCCTGCACACTGTACAAAAATTATCTGCAATGCTTGCGATGCTTCCGTGGCCAGGAAGGAAGTTGGAATTCGGGAGTTCAGGCGAGCACGCGTCATGCACATCATGGCAAGAAGGCCAGCCATGGCTTGTTTCAGGAATACATAAGGGGTGCGTTCCTCTTTGCATGCACATTTTGTATACAAGCCTCAACATCTGCAGAGGTCAACTGCCTGAGAAACTGCGAAAGTCACTTGTTTTTGCTCAAGTGTGACTGGGCAAGAGCTGGATGACTTCACCCCGCCGAGTTGGAAGCTCGAGGGAGGGAAACGTACAAGCACATGCATGGCACATGACAGCACATGGCCTCCTTATGTCCACGGACCAGCTTGACAAAGTCATCAATACCTTATCTGAACTCCCACAGTCCGTCGAACTGCAGGACCTGTTGACGACCTTATGTGCAGCCGCAGATGCTGGCACTGTTCCGTAGCTGGGTCTTCAGGTAGCTCGTCTTGAGCGCAGACAGCATCAACGGCTCCAACTTGTCTGCTGTTATTCCTTGCACTTCATGCGACTCTGCTAGAGAAGGGTTTACAGTCAGCCCAACATAACCCAGCGATGAGGAGGGGGGGTTGGGTGGCGAACAGTGGCGTTACGAGGTGGCAGCTTGTCAGACAAGTTGCGGCCGGTTTGGCCGAAAGTATTCGCAATGCAAAATAGCGTTCCACGCTCTGAACACCTTGGAAGGCAGGAAACCGCTCTGCCCCCAAGCATCTCGCCGTGCAATCTATGCATATAACGGCCACTCATGGTGGATTCCTGCTATAGAGGTCTCCGAAAGAAACATCAGACTGGATCCGAGCTTGCGAATGACAGTGCATGACATGGGCGGGCAGACGCGTCCGAGCAGAATAGTAAAGTCGCATGCCCTAGTGGCTCCTAGTGGCTGATCCGCCGACGCGGCCTTCGCAGTGGTCCTTGCTCCCGCTAGAAATGCCCGACCCCTTCCTCCTAGCCACCCCCGCACTAGAAACACGGCTGGTCTCTTCCTTCGAAAAATGAGACCCACATTTTGGCGTTTTGCTCCGTGCCTGACCCGACCCCTCCCCTCCCCCTCCCCGGCTTTTCTCTTTCTTTTGTCGGTTTCAAAAAGTGATGATAGTACGCCCCCCACACTGACATTCTGCTCGCCAGGCGCTGCGCATTGCGGATGGCGTTGCTGGACCGAGACATTCTGTGCTTAACTCCACAAGCAGATGCAAGCTCCAGTGGGAATCTACGTGTGTGGGTTCAGCAGATGCGGTTGGGTTTCGGGCCTTCGGGTACATCCAGTGTGCAGTTCAGGCTGGTGATATAGCTTGTCCAAGTTGCTTGGGTCATGAGAACCCACCCCCTGGACCCCCAAGCCCTCTATGCGGGCACCGAGTCTTCCATCCTGATTACGAAAGCCTGACTCAAGCAAAACCTAACACCAATGAAGCCCTCAGGGTGAAAGACCTCGTCTCGAAGCCTCTGAAGTTTCAAAGGCAAAGCCGCGTCTGTATGAGCGCGGACAGCGTCTGCACGGCGGAGGTATCCATGAATGGAATGGCCGATGCCTTGGCTACGGCCGAAACCAGACGAAACATGTGTGAGGACAGTGGGACGCAGCAAGCTACCCCAGAGAAAGCGACCCCAGAGAAAGCACCAACCGTCAACATGCTGGCTCTGGAACTGACAGTATGATGCCATTCAGCGAGCTGTCAGCACCGCCTTCCTCACCGATATCCAGCTCCTGTATGGGCAAACCATCTTATTGCCGATGACTACCTCTCCTTTTTGGCCTCTGCCATGCTAAAAACTCAGCAAGTCGCATGCGGCGTCCTGCTCTTCGATCCATTCTTGCAACCTCTCGACCTGGACATGCTGGAGCAACTCCCTGAAACTAGGTAACTAGGGCCTTAACTGGTGTTAAACATGGGACATCCTTTGACAACCTTTTTAAAGCCTGTGAGCCCCGGGCGTTTGCGTAGAACAAGGGTCCCTCCATTCGAAGCACGAGAATGCCAGGTTCCCTGCAAGCGCCTGCAGCAGTCATCTCACAGGCCGTGTGAAGGAGTTTCAAGGGCTTCGGATTCGTATCCAGCCTGAGCGATCGATGGCCATCCACTTGCGAGCCCTGGGATAGCCGAAGCTGCTGAGCACCACCCATAGTTCAAGGCACTCAATCTGGACCTATCGCACCTGCTGCTGTGTGTGTCTTCACCATCTCGTTCCCGGAAGCCAAGTTCGACAATGTCCGGATTCACCACCTGAGCCGATGAAGCTGCTACAGTACGATCAGTTCGAACTCCAGCCATGGCCGGCCTGGTAAAGAATGATCACCAGGGATGTGGCCACGGCTGCCAGCATGCCTCGCAGGGGCACTTTCATAAGCACTTCCGGCGCAGCTTGGGCTCTCACCGCCAAGGCCGTGATTGTGCAGCTTACCTTCCAGCACTGATGACTGACATACAGGGAACGTCATCGTGAAGGTCTTGACATCTTCGGGCGGCAAGGACGTTTATGTTCTTACGTGTCATTCATGAACACAAGAAAACAGGGTGCACCGCCAGGATCTGCTAAAGGAGATTTGCCGTTTGCCTTCGCGAGGTTCCAATGAAACACGCACGGCCTGCACTTGAATCACCGTACTCGTATGTGAGGTTCAATCATCGAGGTATCCCAGAAGCATTTGGCCCACTCATGGAACATCCACGCCAGCGTCGTTGGCCATGTTGGAAGACATTGGAAGAAGTGGGCACAGCATGGCTGTTGCGTGCAACCGGGTGAGGTGTGAGTTCGTGCCGAGAGTCCCCGTCAAATCAGGAACCTGTTTCGTCCCGGCGCCGAGTCTAGTCCATCCAGCGCGCACACTCCGCTGCACATTTGCCAGTTCTCGGCGGGAGGTGCTGTGCTCAGCCAATGACAGGCACGAGAACGGACTCAGCGAGAAGCTTTGTCGAGACTATCTAGAGCTTAGAGTAGTCTCAGCAGTCTCAGCAGTCTTAGCACCTTGCTGCTTGCGCTGCTCCCTCGGAATTTCTCTGATCAGAGTCGGTGTCTGGGGGGCTGGGGGGGGGGGGGGGGGGGCATTGAGTACTTTACAGAAGACAAGCTTGACGAATCGGCTCTCCATCTGGCAGGTTGGTCATGGGTCGGCCTTGAAACGCTCCGAAGTACAGGGTGCAACCTGAGTCAATGAAATCAGAAACACCATCGAACCTCTTACACCAAAGCATCATACTGCATGTCTCCATGATAGTGATGACGGGAGGCTGAACCCAATGATCCAAGTCAGCATCTCACCTGCTCACAGACAGCATGCCCCGCATGAGCACATTCCCTGCCACCACTGCATCCTGACATCCTGACCAAGAGGAGTCCTTTTGCGTGATGCACTCCCGTCCCTCATTTCACATGTTCCGCTGCTTGCAGATGG